CACCAAAGCCGACAGCCCCCCCCCAGGCGCTCCCGCCCGGACTGACCTGGCGCCGGCCTGCTCGAAGAGCCAGGCCCAGTAGCGCGGCCGGAAGTCGCGGGCGGTGAAGCGCGAGGCGAAGTCGGCGTAGGTGGTGTTGGGCGGGAAGTGCTCCCGCATGAAGCGCTCGTAGTCGCCGCGGCGCTCGCCCTGCCAGTGCCACCAGAACCACTCGGAGCCATAGGCCGGCACCGAGAACACCCCCCAGTGCACGAACACCCCCACCTTGGCCTGGTCGAACCAGGCCGGCAGCGGCCTCGCGTCCAGACTGGGCCAGTCCGGGGTGTAGCGGGGCCCGCAGGCCGCCCCGGCTACCAACAGCAACAGCCAGCGCGCTGCTCCCAGCGACGCCATCTTCCCCGACCAGCTGTGCCCGGGCCCCGCCCCTCCGCACACGGGACGGGAGCCGAGACGGGCCAACAGGCGAACACGGGGACCTAGGGGCTTACCACGTGATAGGCACCGTCCACGTGATGAGCAGGTCCGACGCCGTTGCTAGAGAGGCACTGACCACGTGATGTGCAAAGGGGACGCCATTACTAGAGAGGCACTGACCACGTGATGTGCAAAGGGGACGCCATTGCTAGAGAGGCACTGACCACGTGATGTGCAACTTGGACGCCATTGCTAGAGAGGCACTGACCGCCTCATGTTGAGGAGAAAAGCCGTCGCCAGCGAGGCAATGGCCTCGTGGTTCCTGGGGCATGCAGGCGGCACGTGCTGCCCCTGGGAGTGTCACAGCTCAGGCACTGAGGGAGAGGGCAGGTCCCAGGAGCTGGGGGCGCTGGGAGCCCATGTCTAAGGCTGGGAGGAGCTCGTGCACCACAGAGGGCACCACCCCGTGGGGTGACCCACTAGCACCCTGCCGGCTGAGTCTGACACAGGCCGGCCCTAGGTGTAGCTGCAAAGCTTGGCTCTTTCGCCCACAGCAGCAAGTTGGTCCAATAGAAGATATTACCTTACCCACCTTGTCGCACTAGTATCCGGAGACCAACACAGCGACAACTCAGCATATAACACATGTAGTGCAATTACATATGTGGATCACAGAAACCCCCTTGGGAACTGCCAACCGATGTGCCAAGACTACTTCTGCCCCTGCTTTCCCTGCCAGCCTGGGACTCCAGCACCCTGTCCTGTTGAGCCAGACCCGCCCGTCTGCTCCAACACAGACCCAGGGTCTGAACCACGTGCCTCAAAGCTGCAGACTGCGCTGAAAGCGACTTGAGAAGTGTTCCCGTCTTTAACACTCAGAGGCCCAACTCCCAATGGGGTCCAAACCCCAAATAAATCCATTTTAGCCTGTATAAAGCTTATACAGGCTAAACAAATAAATTGTCCGCCCTCTATAACACTGATAGAGAGATATGCACAGCTGTTTGCCCCCCACCCCTCCCCCGGGTATTAATACATACTCTGGATTAATTAATAAGTAAAAAGTGATTTTATTAAATACAGAAAATAGGATTTAAGTGGTTCCAAGTAGTAACAGACAGAACAAAGTGAATTACCAAGTAAAATAAAATAAAACACGACAAATCTGAGTCTAATACAGTAATAAAACTGAATACAGGTAAAATCTCACCCTAGAGATGTTTCCAGGGCCGCCCAGAGGATTCAGGGGGCCTGGGGTCTTCGGCGGCGGGGGGGCCCCGCCACCGAAGACCTGGCACTTCGGTGGCGGGTCCCGAGGCGGAAGGACCCCCCGCCGCGGGTCTTCGGGGCACTTCGGCGGTAGGTCCTGGAGCCGAAGGACCCCCCGCCGCCGAATTGCCGCCGAAGACACGGAGTAGAAGAAGCTCCGGTGGCCCGGGCCCCACGAGAGTTTTCTGGGGACCCTGGAGCGAGTGAAGGACCCCGCTCTAGGGGCCCCCGAAAAAACTTTTTGTGGGGGCCCCTGTGGGGCCTGGGGCAAATTGCCCCACTTGCCCCCCCCCTCTGGGCGGCCCTGGATGTTTCAATAAGTTTCTTTCACAGACTGGTCGCCTTCCTAGTCTGGGCACAATCCTTTCCCCTGGAACAACCCTTGTTTCAGCTCAGGTGGTAGCTAGGGGATTTCTCATGATGGCTGCCACTTTTGTTCTGTTCAGGGCCGGCTCCAGGCACCAGCTTCTCAAGCAGGTGCTTGGTGCGGCCGGTCGGGAGAGGGGCGGCAGGTCCAGGTATTCGGCGGCAATTCGGTGGACGGTCCCTCACTCCGCCTCGGAGTGAAGGACCTCCCGCCGAATTGCCACCACAGATCGCGATCGCGGCTTTTTTTTTTTTTTTTGGTTTTGGCTGCTTGGGGTGGCCAAAACCCTGGAGCCGGCCCTGGTTCTGTTCCACCTACTTTTATATCTTTTGCATAAGGTGGGAATCCTTTGTCCCTCTCTGGGTTTCCCACCCCCTCCTTGTCAATGGAAAAGCACCAGGTTAAAGATGGATTGCAGTTCAGGTGACATGATCACATGTCACTGCAAGACTTCATTACCCACTTGCCAGCACACACGTGTACAGGAAGACTTACAAGTAAACGGAGCCACCTACAGTCCATTGTCCTGGTTAATGGGAGCCATCAAGATTCCAAACCACCACTAATGGCCCACACTTTGCATAATTACAATAGGCCCTCAGAGTTATGTTTCATATTTCTAGTTTCAGATACAAGAGTGATACATTTATACAAATAGGATGACCATGCTCAGTAGATTATAAGCTTTGTAATGATACCTTACAAGAGACCGTTTGCATGAAGCATATTTTAGTTACATTATATTCACACTCATCAGCATACTTTCATAAAATCATATAGAGTGCAATGTCACAACATAATTTTGCAAAGGCATCCTTATTTCTATCGTAGCATCCACTGGTAGCAAACAGCATAGACCTACGACAACACTGCATATAACTACTTATGCATCCAATGAAGTGGGCTGTAGCCAACAAAAGTTTATCCTCAAATAAATTTGTTAGTCTCTAAGGTGCCACAAGTACTCCTGTTCTTTTTGCGGATACAGACTAATACGGCTGCTACTCTGAAACCTATAACTACTTAGTTACTCTAGGGCAGGAGTGGGCAAACTATGGCCCGGGAGCAGCATCCAGCCCTCCAGATGTTTTAATCCAGCCCTCTAGCTCCCACCAGGCAGCGGGATCCAGGGCTTGCCCCACTCCGGCACTCCAGCCGGGGAGCGGGATCGTGGATTTGCCCCACTCCACATGGCTCCCGGAAGCAGTGGCATGTCCCCCTCTGGCTCCTACATGTAGGGGCAGCCAGGGGGCTCCGCACACTGCCCCTGCCCCAAGTGCTGCCCCCGCAGCTCCCATTGGCCTGGAACTGTGGCCAATGGGCGCTGCAGGGGTGGTGCCTGTGGACAGGGCAACATGCAGAATCGCCTGGCAGTGCCTCCACGTAGGAGCCAGAGGGGGGACATGCTGCTGCTTCTGGGAGCTGCATGAAGTGAGCACCACCCGGAGCATGCACCCCGACCCCCTCCCGCACCCCGACCCCCTCCCGCACCCCAACCCCCTTCCCCAGCCCTGATCCCCCCCTCCCGCCTTCCGAATCCCTCCGTCCCAGCCCGGAGTAAACTTCTGCACCCCTAACCCCCCATCCCCACCCCCACCCCAGAGCCCGCACCCCCAGCCGGAGTCCTCTCCCCTCCCCTCCCCTCCCCCCTTCACACCGCAACCCCCTGCCCCAGCCCAGAACCCCCTCCCACACCCTTAACTCCTCATGTCTGGCCCCACCCCAGAGCCCACACCCCCAGCCAGCACCCTCATCCCCTCCCGCACCCCAACCCTCAATTTCGTGAGCATTCATGGCCCGCCATGCAATTCCCATACCCGGATGTGGCCCTCGGGCCAAAAAGTTTGCCCACCCCTGCTCTAGGGTTTCTAAGCCACAGAGAAAATATTCTTTATTCTTACTCTGTATAGAGTTTAACTATTAAAATAAATAAGACATTTAATGATGTGCTAACAGATTTATCATGACAGTTTGCTAGCTAAATACAATATAGTGGTTTATAGTATGTAGCACAAAAGGCATATTTACATATACTACTGCAGGTAAGTTTTCGTGCCACCGGCATGATTGAGGTCAATTATTAACAGCCCGAGTGTGCTTTGTTAAGTTTCAAATGTTGTTCTCTCGTGTTTGTCAGGAGTTGGGAGACCGACGTTATAATCATATTAATATGCTGAACCCAAGGGGGCAAATTCAGCACTGGTGTAAAGTAGGTGCAAGTCTTTATGACATGCCCTTGGCCACATGTACTGACTGGGGCTTGTGTTATTTTGTCTGTGTCCAGTTGACATGTTCTGCAAAAGATACTTATGGAATGTCTTATTTCCTAGGCACAAATATCCAGCACTTGCCTGCCTAGAGTATAAAACATCTTCAGCACATATTGCATTTCTGGACAAAACAATACAGCACTTTCTTAAAACAGCTCCTCAATAATTCTAGCCAAAGGGCTTAATTCTTCGTTGGTGTAGTCTCAGTAAAGTTGGTGAAATTACACTAGGGATAAATGTGCCTCCTTAGTTGGATGAGAAGTAAACCACATTCATACGTTTCCTTTGGAGCCATACTTGGCTGTAAATGTTCCTGGAATCAAACTCCTAAACACTGAGGTTCTCAGACTGCCCAGTTCCTCAAAGCTCTTTAGGCACCAATTGATTTCAGTGGAAGTCAGGAGCCTAAATACCTTTGAGTATCTGGGCATAAGACCCACTGAGGGCTCCATCCTGCAAGGTGCTCAACTTCCACTGAGTTTAATGGGAGTGTGGGGCTCTCACCACCACTGCAGTGTGCTCGAGGCCTTAGCATATTGAACCACAATTGCATATAAAATGTTGCAGTCCCAGCAGCAGAGTGGCTACAGACCAGCCTTGTGCTACAGCCACGTGGGTCAAAGCACATTTTACTTGGACCAGAACTTCATTTTAGAGTAGGGATGGAAGAGGTCATTGACTGCAAGATAAGTGAGTCAAGATCACTGGTTGACACAGTTGTGGACTCAGTCTGGTAAACCGGGAGGGTTGCCCTAAAATAAGGGGACTGCTTCTGTTGTTTATCCATCCATCCATGGTGTTTGTAGAGCACCCATCACTGTAGTATCTATGAAAGCCTGCTATGCTATCATTGTAGTATTCGTATGGTAGAGTTGGTCCAGTCTTCCTTTGCTTGGGTGTATCTGCTCTTTAGAGGGTAGGGACCAGCAGCCCAGATAGTTAAAGGTACTTAGGCAGCTAATTCCCTTGGAAATTAATGGGAATTAGGTGCCTAAATACCATTACAAATCTGGGCTCAGGTCTTTTACTCACTAAGTAAAGTCCCAGGCACAAGGAGGGTGTGATCTGAAAATGTTTCAAGCAAGGCCGGCTCCAGGCACCAGCTTCTCAAGCAGGTGCTTGGGGCGGCCGCTCCGGAGAGGGGCGGCAGGTCCAGGTATTCGGCGGCAATTCGGTGGATGGTCCCTTGCTCCGCCTGGGAGTGCAGGACCTCCCGCCGAATTGCCGCAGCAGATCGCGATGGCGGCTTTTTTTAGATCGCGATCGCGGCTTTTTTTTTTTTTTTTTTGGTTTTTGGCTGCTTGGGGCGGCCAAAAGCCTGGAGCCGGCCCTGGTTTCATGATACCATTCCAGCCAAATGGCTTCATATCCCCGGCAAGGCATTCAGTCACGAATCCACCCAGGAGCTACAAAGAAAAGCAGCTTTCGATTTTCTTTCTTTTCAAAGAAACAATCCAAAATCTGTCAGACATTTCCCCCGTCAAAGCTCAGCCTTTCAGCAGATTCATGTCTGTGTTGCACACAATGTCGTCACAGATGGTTTCTATCGGTGAGGATTTCTGAGTGCTCTCTGCTTCTGGGGAGCTCTCTGAGAAGCTCACCTTCTTCCTGAACCGCGAGCTAGTGTTCCTCAAAGAGGAGCGCAGCTCCCTGCTTCGTAGGGCGTAGACAATGGGATTCACCATGGAGTTCACCAGGCAGAGGGTGCTGCAGAAGGCGAACACCTTTCTGATGTGATCATTCAGGCTGACGAAGAGGCTGTACGTCATGAGAGCCAGCACTGGGGACCAGCACGTCATGACAATGGCCAGGACCATCACTAATGTTTTGGCGAGCATGACGTTCATCCTCATCTTTGCATTCCGCTGCCCAGCCTGGGTTTGGCGTTTCTCCATGTACACTGTGTGCTTATGAGCCTTCCAAAGCACCCGGACGTAGGCGTACACTATACACAGCAGCAGAATCATTACCAGGCAGATCCAGCTGGACAGATACTTGCTATCAACAAAGGGAAACAGCTCAGAGCAGGGTGAGTTTACCTTGCAGCAGTTCCACCCCATTAGAGGCAGGAAGGCAGTGATCACGGTAGCGATCCACATCACAGCCATGGCCACCACAGCCCTTTTCCTCGTCACGATGACCTTGTATTCCGATGGCTGATAGATACAGACATAGCGGTCAAATGCCATCAGCAGCAAGCTGCCCAAGGACGCCGTGAAGGACGTGTTGACCCCTCCAAGCTTCAGCAAGAAGATCTCTTTAGAGGAGTCAGTTCTGTTGAAGACATGGAAATCAAGAAAGCTGCAGACAAATACAATGCTGGCCAGGACATCTGCTAGGGCCAAGCTACTGATCAAGAGGTAGGAAGGCTTTTTTCTGATCTTAGGGGAAGCAAATATCAGATACAACACCAAAGAGTTTTCCAAAACGCACAGAATCCCGACAATGGAGCACAGCACAGCTATGCCTGTTTTCTGAGTGAGGCTGTTAAGGACCATGTAACATTTCAGGTCCATGGTATTCATGCTGCAGTTGGACACCTGACATCTCTCCATTGTGATTATCCAGGACCGAAAAGCTTTCCAAAGACCAGGGGCTTCCTTGGTGAGCCTTCAGAGGGTGCTCTGAAAAAAAAGATGTAGAGGGGAAAAACTTATATTTGTACCCAGCACAAAGAACAACACACACAGCTAAAGGGACATGAAACAGTCAGAGAATATCCCCTGTTCCCAACCCCCTTTGCAAAGGATTTGAGACCATACAAAGGAGAAAAGAGACCAGCGAGAAATATTTCTATGTTCTCTGTCCAAAGAGTTGTGTAACTCTGGGTGGGACTGGATGGCCGAGGGTAGTGGCAGTGGGACAGACATAGGGGATGGCATATCTAAACTGTCAGTTCAAATCCTGCTGCTCTTACTAAGGTGAGTAGTTCCACTGACTTTATTTGGGATGACCCATGAAATTAGAATGAGCCAGATTTGGTCCCAAGTCTCTAGAGATCGAGAGCCATGGCCCCCTGATGGTCTCTATGTGAAAAGAGTAGGTGATTTCAGTCAGCTCTTGCCACTAAGATATCCTTGTTTTTAGCCTCGGCAGAAATGCCCTGGATTCCGTTGTAGTCACCACGAGGGGGCAGTAATTACAAAGCTTCCTATTTGACAGGTCACGGGACATATTATACTGTAGGCCAGTGGTTCTCAACCTTTCCAGACCACTGTACCCCTGAAGCCTGAGCCCTGCTGCCCAGGGCTGAAGCATGTAGCTTAGCTTCGCGGGGTCCCCTGTGGCATGGGGCCCCAGGCAGTTTCCCTGCTTGCCACCCCCTAACGCCAGCACTGCACTTGCAACCCCCCCAAATCCATCCTGCAACCCCCCTGAGGTCGCAACTCCCAGGTTGAGACACTCTGATCTAGATGAGTTGACATACCCCCTGGAAGACCTCTGGGTACCCCCAGGGGTACATGTAGCCCTGGTTAAGAACCACTGCTGTAGGCTATATGGTGTGAAATACAGAGTATTGCCAGTTCCAAGCATTCAAAACTCATGAGTCAGGACTCCAACAAATCATGAGATTTGTAAAAATAAGTTTGCGGTTCTTTTGATTTGCCTTCTGGTTTTTAAGCCTTTAGGGTTGCACTCAGGTCACGTTTTGAAGCTTTTCTGTACAGTCATGAGGGCTGAACAATTACTTAAAAAAAATACAACAGCTGGTATTGTCATGTAATAGCATGACTCCAGGAGCTGGGTTTTATAAAAAACATCAACCATTGTGAGTCTTATATTGCTTCATCACCCTAATATCTGAGTACTTCCCAAGTATCTAAAACTAGAAATCATTGCTCTTTCTTACTTCCCAGGTTGTAGGAAAAATAGCAGAGTTGGTGAATGGGTTATTTTGTGTGTTAGTTGTGTAGTGTGAGCGAGTGTGGGTGAAGAATTTATTGAGAGACAGGTAAATCAAAGCCATGAGTCTTGCATTTAGGGCCTGATCCAAAGCCATTGAAGTAATGAGTTTCTATTGACTTCAGTGGGTTTTGGATCAGGTCCCTTGGTTCTGGAAGTGGTTAGATCTGTGGTCACTCTTCTCTCTTGTGACAGTGAGTTCCACAGTCTAGATACAGATCCTGTGAAAGTTCTGTCTCATGTGCTCGCAAGATTAACTTCTACCACCACTGGAATGCAGACACTGCAGGGGTGGAATGTTGCAGCTATTTACCAGCCCCACACAGCAGTTTAGGACAGGTAGGGAAGAATAAATTATCTAAGGGCACGTCTTCACTGGCAACTGCCACGGCAGCGCTTTAACGTGGCTTGTATAGTCACTGCATAGCACTGGGAGAGAGCTCTCCCAGTTCCCCCCCAAAAACACCTCCACGAGGGGACTAGCTACCTACCAGCGCTGGTGCACTGTCCACACTGACACTTGCAGTGCTTGCGGGGCGGGAGGGTGGGGGGGAAGTGGTTTTTTCACACCCCTGAGAGAGAAAGTTGCAGCACTGTAAAGTGCCAGTGTAGACAAGGCCTAAGTGAAACTGCAAGGGGAATTTAGGGGGGATAGATTGTACACGGATATAGGGCTCGATTAATAAAGAATTAAAGGAAGGTAATTTAATTAATGCAGATCAATATGGAAAACAGATCCAGTAAAATTAACCTGATATTTTTGGATGAGATTACAAGTTTGGTTGATAAAGGTAATAGCGTTGATGTAATGTACTTAGACTTTTGTAAGGCATTTGACTTGGTACCACGTGACATTTTGATTAAAAACGAGAAGGATATAAAATGAACAAAAACAACGAGGAGTGGCACCGTAGAGACTAACAAATTTATTTGGGCATAAGCTTTTGTGGGCTAGAACCCACTTCATCAGATGCATGGAGTGGAAAATACAGTAGGCAGGTATTGCATGTGCTGTGTATTTATACCTGCCTACTGATTTTCCACTCCATGCATCTGATGAAGTGGGTTATATCCCATGAAAGCTTATGCCCAAAGAAATTTGTTAGTCTCTAAGGTGCCACAAGGAGTCCTCGTTGTTTTTGCTGATACAGACTAACACGGCTACCACTGAAACCTGTCATAAAATTAACATGGCACACATCACATGGATTAAAAAGTGGCTAATTTATTGGTCTCAAATGTCATTGTAAATGGGTATGTTTCCAGTGGAGTCCCACCGGGATCTGTTCTTGGCTCTACGCTATTCATTTTTATCAGCAACCTGGAAGAAAACAAACTCATCACTGATCAAGTTTGCAGATAACACAAAACGTGCGGGAATGGTAGATAAATGAAGAGGACAGGTTACTGAATTAGAGCAAACTGGATCACTTGGTACACTGGGTGCAAGCAAGCAATGTGTGATTTAATACAGTTAAATGTAAATGTATATGTCCAGGAACAAAGAATGCAAGCCCTACGTATACAATGGGACTCTATTTTGAGAAGCAGTGACTCTGAAAAGATGTGGGGGTCATGATGGATAATCCACTGAATCTGAGCCCCCAGTGCGATGCTGTGGCCAAAAGAGCTAATGCGATCTTTGGATGCATAAACAGGAGAATCTCAAGTAGGAGTGGAGAGTTATTTTACTTCTGTATTTGGTACTGGTGCGACTGCTGCTGGAATACTGTGTCCAGATCTGGTGCCCTCAATTCAAGAAGGATGTTGATGAATTGGAGAGGGTTCAGAGAAAAGATACAAGAATGATTAAAGGAGTAGAAAACCTGCTTTACAATAATAGACTCAAGGAGCTCAATCTATTTAGCTTAACAAAAAGATTAAGGGGTGACCTGATCATAGTCCATAAGTACTTACACAGGGAATTAATAATGGTCTTTTCAATCTAGCAGAGAACGGTCTAACACGATCCAATGGCTGGAAGTCAAAGCTAGACTCATTCAAACTTGGAAATAAGGAGTACATTTTTGACAGTCACGGTAAATAACCATTGGAACTATTTAACAACGGTTGTGGCGGATTCTCCATCATTGCCAATTTTTAAATTAAGATTGGATTTTGTTTTAGAAGAGGTGCTCTAGTAATCATTTCGGGAACATTCTCTGGCCTGGGTTATCCAGGAGATCAGACTAGATGATCACAGTGGTCCCTTCTGGCCTTGGAATCTATGAACAATGACCTGAATTGGAATGTGGTTATACCCCAAGAGCACACAGCAACTTTTCACAAGTTCTCTGAGATCTTTAATAACAGCAAGTGATTAGGACCCGGGATTTACATTTCTTCCTAAACTAGCCCATTTTCAACATTCCTGCCAGAAGATTAGAAAGTGCCATTCCAGTTCCTGGGACTCAATCCAGCTATTTTGGGAAAACAAGGCACAGATTGAAATATTTAATCTTCATTAAGGACATTTCCATTATGATGATTATTAATACCTAGCTCTTATAGATTCATAGATTCTAGGACTGGAAGGGACCTCAAGAGGTCATCGAGTCCAGTCCCCTGCCCTCATGGCAGGACCAAATACTGTCTAGACTCTAGACCATCCCTGATAGACATTTATCTAACCTATTCTTAAATATCTCCAGAGATGGAGATTCCACAACCTCCCTAGGCAATTTATTCCAGTGTTTATCCACCCTGACAGTTAGGAACTTTTTCCTAATGTCCAATCTAAACCTCCCTTGCTCCAGTTTAAGCCCATTGCTTCTTGTTCTATCCTTAGAGGCTAAGATGAACAAGTTTTCTCCCTCTTCCTTATGACACCCTTTTAGATACCTGAAAACTGCTATCATGTCCCCTCTCAGTCTTCTCTTTTCCACACTAAACAAACCCAATTCTTTCAGCCTTCCTTCATAGGTCATGTTCTCAAGACCTTTAATCATTCTTGTTGCTCTTCTCTGGACCCTCTCCAATTTCTCTACATCTTTCTTGAAATGTGGTGCCCAGAACTGGACACAATACTCCAGTTGAGGCCTAACCAGCACAGAGTAGAGCAGAAGAATGACTTCTCGTGTCTTGCTCACAACACACCTGTTAATGCATCCCAGAATCATGTTTGCTTTTTTTGCAACAGCATCACACTATTGACTCATATTTAGCTTGTGGTCCACTATAACCCCCGGATCCCTTTCTGCCGTATTCCTTCCTAGACAGTCTCTTCCCATTCTGTAAGTGTGAAACTAATTGTTCCTTCCTAAGTGGAGCACTTTGCATTTGTCTTTGTTAAA